CTGGTGAAATATTGCAAGAGTTGGGAGGCCACCGTGACTTTGGGTTCGCGTGCGACTGGTCAGACAATGGCTGGACCGTTGCAACCGGTTTCCAGGACATGAGTGTGAAACTCTGGGACGCTCGAATGTGGACCAACTCAGACGGTACCAGCAAACCACTCACCACGATTCGCTCCGAGATGGCAGGTGTCCGCAGCTTGAGGTTCTCTCCCACCGGCAGCGGCCCTCAAGTTCTCGTAGCAGCCGAGGAAGCCGACTATGTCAACATCATCGACATTCAAAGTCTAGCCCACAAGCAGACATTTGATATCTTTGGGGAGATTGGAGGTGTCGAGTTCACCAACGACGGCCAGGACCTCAATATTCTCTGCATGGATCGTACTCGTGGAGGGCTGGTTCAACTGGAGCGTTGCGACTTAGCGTCTAGCTCCGATTTTGAGTACGCACATCAAGCGGCAGCCATGGATCCTTGGTGGAGGCCCAGCCAGAGCGGAATACTATCTGATGCAGATATGGTTCAGACGAAACTGCCAGCTCAGCGGGAAAGGGGGTACGACCTCTTTGATGACTTGGAGCCTTTCTGAAAGGGCATGATACCCCCGTTGTCGTCAGCTACATCTATCAACGTTGGCTGCGTCAGGGATGCATTAATCTCCTAGCCGTCGGCGTTTTGCGTTGTTTCGGCCGGCGTGTCATGGCAAACTTGGTCGATTTGGCGTTAACCCGCGAGCTCTACCTTGGCTCTCGAACCTTCGACTTGCTCACACTTGATGTGTGTGTGTGTGTGTGTGTTCGACCTATAGACAGTGCCCGTGCCTTGGTGCGCTGGCCTTGGGAGAAGACGGTTAGGAAAACATTTCCAGGGTCCGAGACTTCTACAAGCATCATCTTCATTTCCTTTCTTCATATTTTGACATTCAGCACAGCGTATTCACTGTTCATACTGCATGGAGGGTTTCTTAACGACTTTACGGAGGGACGGTGGGGAAGGTAAAGGACGCAAGGCATCGGTTGGTGTCTGCAGGCTTTCTCGGTTCTTCTTCCTGTCCGCGATATCCTTACTAGGGACGTGTCAGTATTTTACTTGGGTGCGTAGAAACCGACATTGGTTTTCTGGTTGCATTACTTTTTGGCAGGGCGGGACACGCGGATACACATTACATCTTTTCTCAACATGATGGATCAAAACCTAGGTGCCTGGGATCTTTCAGCATTTTGGCTTCATTCTCTGGGGAGTTAGTGTTTTTATGGCTCGGTCTGTTAACTAGAAGATGGGTTCCATGAAAAGGCCAGGGAGGGGAAGAGGGGATTTAGGATTAATCCATGGGGAAGGCGACGGGGAGGGCCGGAAGATATCCCGATAAAGACGTTGACGAAATACCACTTCTCATGACCTTGCTCTCATTCGTATGTGCGTTATGGCTCTTTACGCTTGTGTGTTTTTTGTCTTCCCTTCTCCCTCTCATCTCATTTCTCCTTCTTGGACATTACGTGGGCACGTGAGGCATGCGAAATGTCCCAGCGAGAGTTCCACTTCACGGACCAACAGTTCGGACGAGAGAAGATGAGATCAAGATTGGGAGCGGGGGTTCAACTGAACGTCATGTTAGAGATGGTATCTTTGCACCTTTGTCTGTTTCTCTTTTGCCTTTTTGCTCTTTGAAAATTTGGTACTGATAGTTGACACTCCCCTCAAAGCAAGGCAGGGAGATGGAGTTGTGTGTGATGGAGAGGTGCAATTGTGAACTTTGTGTCTTGGACTCTGAATCAGTTGCGGGAGACTATGGAGATACGAATGACGCCTAGGCGTGAATTTGTGTTTGGGCGAGTGCAAGTCCAGTCTTGGGCACTACATAAACGATGGCTCTCCCGAGTTATATCAAGGTATTTGATTAATACAAACACGTGTTAGGAGACTTGGCCTGTCCTCCCATACGCGAATCGAAACAGAGCTTACATATACATATATATACAGAGACAATGAAGATAAGGGCAATATATATAGATGTAGATTTCGAAACCGCAAGGAGGAAGGATCACTCCAAGTCCACTACTGTCTGGGGTATCCAATTGTCATTGTACACTTGAAAGGGAAACGTTGCAAATCGTCTTCGGTGGAAAAGAAGGGGGGTTTTCTTTGTCTTTTTATCTGGATTCATGGGTACACCTCAAAGCAACGTCGGAAGGAAGAGGGATTAATCTCTTTTGTATGTTCAAATGCCGAACGTTGAATTAGAAAATAATTGGGGGGGCTATCCATTTGTTGTTCACCATTTCCCTTTCTTGTTTCCTGGTCTCGTGATGCTATTTCTCTTTAAGCGGAGAAGAGGTCACCGCAGCCCCAGGTGCGCTCGCAACCGCAGGTGCCGGGGTCCTTCCACTCGTCGTTGTGGAAAGAGAAGAAGACGGTCTTTCCACCAGCGAGCTCCTTGATGGAGGCGATGGCGGTGGCCTGCTCAGAGGTACCGGGGCAGGCCTTGCCGTTGCAGTTACCGCCGGAGGGCCATCCGCACTCGAGGTTGTAGGCAGGCTTGGTGCCGCAGATCTGGGAGCTCTCGAGGAGCTCAATCTGGCCCTTGACAAAGGTACCGGCGTCGGTGGCGGCGGTCTCGGCGTTGAAGTAGGGGTGGATCTGACCTCCGACGACGTCGATAACGTCGCAGATCTCGGAGATGACATCAGACTGCTGCCAGACGCCGACGGTCTCGGCTGTGGTGTAGGGACCAGAGTAGCCAGCAGCGGTGATAACGGCCTTGGTGGAGACGATGAGCTGCTTCAGGGAGCTGGCGGAGCAGCGGCCCTGGAAGATGCACTCGTTACCAATGACGACGAGCTCGACCATGCCCCACTGCTTCCAGGCGGTGATGGCGTCAACCTGGTTCTTGATGTCGGCGGAGTTGGGGTCGCAAGACTCCTTGACGAAGATACCAATGATCATCTGGAGGCCGTACTTCTTGCAGGCGGCGCCGACGTTCTCGAGGGTGCTGCAGTCGGTGGAGTAGACACGGACGGTGCGGAAGCCGGAGTTCTTGATGGTGGAGATGTCGGCATCGACCTGGTCGGCGGTCTTGCAGGATCCAGAGGCATCCTCAGAGAAGGGAGTGTAGGTGATGGCCCAGTGGTCGCCGTTGTTGCCTCCGAGGCCACCGCCGGTGGCGGGGGCAGAGGAGGAAGGAGCGGCAGCAGAGGAAGTCTTGGCCGTGGTGGGAACAGGCTCGGGGGTAGCGACAGCGGAGGTCGTGGGAACGGGAGCGGGAGCCTGAGTGGTGGGCTTGGCAGCCTCGGTGGTAGGCGCAGGCTTGGGGGCTTCAGTGGTGGGCGCGGGAGCAGGGACGACGACGGGGACGGAGCTGCTGGTGGGCACAGGGTTCTGGCTGGTGAAGGGGCAGACAACAACGACGCTGGTCTCGGTGATGGTGGTCACGACGGGAGGGCGAACGTAGGTGCCGGGGACGATCTCGGTGACGACGGGGTAGACGCAGGTGGTCGGGGCGGTCACGGTCGTGGTGGTGGGAGCGATGGTGTAAGTGCCAGGGGTAGGGCAGACGTAGGTGGTGGTCTCGATGACGCTGGTGACAACACCACTCTTGGTCTTCTCGGTGGCGTACGGGCAGACGACGGTGGTGGCCTCGACAACAACGGTGGTGACACCACCGATAGTGTGAACACCGGCAGGGACCTTGGTGGTCTCGGGAGCGCAGACGGTGGTGGTCTGGTTCACGGTGATGGTCGTGGCCGGGAAGGTGTAGGTACCCGGGGTAGGGCAGAGCTCAGGGACCGGAGTCGGGACGGGCACCACGGGCTTCGCGGTGGAAGTGGGCTTCTCCGCGGCCTTGGTGGTCGCAGGCGCCGAGGGAAGGGCGCTGGCGACAGACTTGCTGCTGGGCTTGCTGGGAGGGTTAGGAACCACTGTTGATCATCAAGTCAGCACAAAAGATTGATACCAGCTTTATCCGCCTCCGCATTCCCAGACTCTATAGGGCTATAGAGCAAGAATGGTTTCGGATAGTAAATGGGGGTGGAAGTGAGAGAGATACGTACGCGTAGGCTCGCCGTAGATGGTGGTGTAGATGGTGGTGCAGCCGGGAACACAGACGGAGGCCTGGTCAGCACCTCTCTTGAAGAGGTCGGCGTGGGCGTGACGGTGGGCAGCGGCGGTGACACCGGTGACGGTCGCGGCAGCGACTGCGAGGATGGAGCCCTTCATGGTGAATTAAGTTGCCTTTTTTTCTTGAGTAGGGGAATTGAGTATTATTCGACTTTGGGAAGCGAGTGCCCGCTAAAAGAGTGAAGCGGTAGTGAAGGTTTGCGCGTGTAGAGACGAAAGGGACGACGAAACTACGTTGACGGCATCAACTCATTTGACGGTGTTTTCGTAAGGAAAGGAAAAGGGAAAGAGAAAGAGGAGGAAAGAAAACTGGCGGGACCGGGATGTTATTATTGTGATGGTGGTTAGATTAGGTAGAAGGCTAGTATCCGTACTTTCATGGGTACGACCATGAGAAGTCTAGCATGTCCCTGGGGGCCCTGGGCCGGGGTGTGTGCGCGAACGGTGTGTGTGTGTGTGTGTGCCCACTTCCAGATGGATGAATGGGCCAAAGTGCGGGCAGGCTAGCGTCCAATGACATTACGTTGGATGGCATCGGGCCATTAGTTTGGCAGTTTGGCATAGGAGGAGGGGGGACTGGAGGGACTCTGTGTATGTATTCGTCTTGTGTATTCCATGATGCTGGTGACACTATGTTTACTATGAAAGTCGGGGAGCCGTTGGTTTGTGGCCACGAACTGTTGATGGCTGCGGGATAAAGAAGCATTGGGCAATGTGTAAGAGCAACACTACCTCAACTCAAACTGAGGGGTTTCTTGTGTTCCTTACGGATACAAGCAGCAACTCGACAGCAAACAAGCCCCTGTCCTCGGCAGCAAGTCACAACAGAAAAGCTGAGGGGCAAGGAGGTGGAGAGGTACCACTGTGTAGGAGCCAGAAACGAATCTCAGCTTCAGAGAGTCCCAGACTTCTGGTGGAGTGTCTGGGGATTATCGGGACTATGGGATTCGGGAAAAGCAAAGAGACTCTGTCGGTTGAGGATCACAACGGAGACGCTGCCATCCGGAGAGAGGGCTTCGGTCAGGGGGTTGAAGAAAGGATACGGGTTGGCAATCTTGACTGGGCTTGTAGTCGAGTCAATGAGATGACCAGAAGCACCTTGGCCACGGTTCGTCATGAATGACTGTCAGACTGACAGCGCAAGGAAAAGGGAGGCGAAATGGCCATCCCGGTTAAGCATAGTTGGGGGGTTGTCGTTTTGGGCTCTTGGAAGACCGCAAGGCGGGAAGGCCAAGCAGATCCAATCCAGAGGCGGACACGACAGCAAATGAGCGAGTAAAAGCGTGGTCAAGGGGACTTGGCCAACGGTCCAACCGAATCCACCGTCGACGGAGCCTGGAAGTGCCAGAGAGACTGAGAGAGAGTCTGGGCTTGGAGGGGATTGAGAGACATGGTGTAGTGAAATTGGGCTCGACGTTTATTAGTGACTGAGAGTGCGCGGTTCGAGAAAGAATCCAGCCTGGGCTGGGCTCTCTCGAGTCTTGCATCAACCAGTGGCTGAGGGCCAGAAGAAGCAACGAAGAAGGAACGGTTCGACGGTGAGCACGAGGTGAATACCACACCATGATGTCTCTCTTTCTCCCCTTCCCACCTACTCCGTACGGAGTACACTCACACAATGGTATAAAACGGGTTTTGGATGTGCAGGAACGATGCAGACCGTAAGGTAAGTTACTGTGTACGTACTGCATTGTAGAAGCTAACAGAGGCGGAGCTGCAAGGTACCCGAGGTGCAAAGTCCACTGAGATGGCTGATTGGGGAGGGATCGGCGGGTGCGGCGGAGGGGGGAAGGAGCGAGTTGGACCTTGTAAGCTGCAGTTGCCTCCCAGCTGGAGGAGCAACTTGAGAAGGGGGGAGGAGCGAGTGGTGCGTCCGGGAAATTAGCTAAGCGACATTGGACACTTCCCAAGCAGCAGACCCAGAAAATGAGATGAACCGCCAGGGAACCTTCTTTTTTTGCGCCCATGCCAAGCTTGTTTACTGTTTACGCTAGGCCCCGGTCCATCCAGTAATCCAGGAACGCACCTCACCGTCAGTCACACGGTACTTACACTAGTTTGTACACCTCACCGTCGCGCCGCCCGTTGTTTCCTTGCACCGGTGACCTCAGACCTGGCGCTGTCCATTCGAGCAGCAAGGTCAATGCTAAGTCTCGAGTCTCTTGCCCTCTCATTGGTATCAGGCTAACAATCTTGATGACAGTTCATTTTCGTATCGTCAAGAAGGGGGACCCTTCCAACAAGGGTTCCCTCCGCTCCTGCATGGACGGTCGAAGAAACCACAAACCGTCGCCCAGGCCTCCTAACTTCCGTACAACTCTTCCGCCCTACGCTGATTGCGATGATGATGATCCGTACGAATTAGGAAAGAAAAATGAAATGAGATTCGACTCTTCGAGTGGCCGAGAACGCCGTTTCGTCTGGCTTGGTCAATCCATCGTCTTCTTCAATCTCCAAGCGCGACAATTCCGATGAACCATCCACTACGGAATACAACGTACGCATACATCAGGCTGTCAGCCAATCCCGACTTCTTGCGGATGTTAATGCACCCTGCCATCCCATGGATTCTGGACCTCGTGTTCGTGGCTGATCGCCCGGCGCGCTTCAGCGGCAAATTTGATGTCTCTTGATGGATCATCTGCACCCTTCGTTTCTTGAAATCACAGCTTCTCGGAGAAGCAATCTTATGGTCTGCTAGAGAAAATCGACGGCGCGTCACCGAGAGAGATAGCGGTCACGAGATGCTCGAGGTGGTATGCAAGTGAGCCTTGAGGTGTGCATACTTCTCCAATCAGGCATAGTTTGGCCCGATGATTCGTACCTGCACATGCCAGATGCAAGGCCCGTCCGGAGGCAGAAAATAACCCGACGGTCTACTTCTTAGGCGACCTGGATCACCGACCACCCAGATACTGTAGACTGGCGCGCGAGACTCGAACTAGACTCTGAAGTCACTAGACTATCTGAAGCACTAAAAAACGCCTCACCAGAGAAAGGTAGTCGAAACACACCGTTCACCTCGCAACTAATCTACGAACAACTGCTTTCTGTCGGCCGCAGTCTATCTTTGGTTGTTCCAAGTTTCTTGCTATGCGGGGTGGATCTCCAACGGCCGGGGGGCTTGTTATCATCGAACGGTTCTCTCCACCTGCATCCGTACGGCAACACAGACTTGGGAGCGCATCTCGGGATGCGGGATCTTCAACGAGGCTACAAAGTGCACATTGCGTTTTATACACTGCGGATATCTATGTCGAATCGTCGATGGCCGTTGAGACGAATCTACAATCTTTTCAAGCCCAGAAACGCCATCTAGAAGCTCAGCCAGCGCACAAACACTCTCCACCGCACGCGAGCGAGCGCCTCAATGACTTGGACGGTCCTCAGGCACGTGCGCAGCCTCCTTCTGTTCCTTCTGATATAAACGGAAACTGCCAAAATCTGAAAATAAAGAAGAGCCTTTTGCCGCAACGGCCAAGGAACATGAACAATCTGACAGACCGTGGGCAAGCCTCAAGTAACGACGGTATTGTACCTACGTCAGCACGTGGTCAGGTAAGGTAGCACTCCTGCACAAGTCTAAAATGTTTAATCACGCTTAATTGTGAAGGGCAAATCACTGCACAAAAAAGCACCCCGTCGTCAGTTGTGGATCCCATTTCCCGCAACCCCTTTTTTTCGCTTTTGCTTTCCAGCTTGGCCAGCTTCTGCTCAACTCTCAAGCCTTGGCCCCCTTCTGCGCTGAATCCTCTCCCACTCGCCCATCTCCGCCTCATCCCCCCCAGAGAAAATGCCGAGCTGAACCAGACTATTTTCGGGCGGAGACTCGCGATCCCCACCACCCTCTCGTATTCACCCACGGGAGGCCTAAGACTCGCCAAAGAAGCAAAATGCTGGCAAGTTGGTCTATGGCCGACAACGCAACATCCCGGTCTCTGCACAATGCGTGCAACGTGCAAGCTGCCAGCGATCAACGTGTCTGGTGAACCTTGACAACCCATTCAACCAACCCGAGGAAACATTATGCAGATCTATTTCCCTAAGCTGGCATAGTGAAGACTGTCTAATCTCACCAAAATCTTCCGAATTTCCCATCAGAGCCATCGACTCTCAGCGCCAAGTCGAAATGGTACCGGGAGAAGGAGTCAAGAGATGAAGTTTCCAGACTTGACCTGGACTGGAACCCCTTTTGAGTAAATGTTTTGCTCATCTCCTTCCACTACGGTCTTGTTCGTTTGACCGTGCTACATCTTCCCACATGGCCGCGAAAACTGTAACAAGATGAATTGATGAACATGGAGTTCTACCTGTCAAAATTGTGGCCTAGCAGATCAATGTCAAAGATCCCAAAAGCTTGACCTCTTTCTTTCCGTATGCAAATCACCTAGTCCAGCCCATTAGAGATCACCACCCCCCCCTTTTTCTTTCGACTCTGTGCTTTATGTACCCCGTAAGCTTCAGTTGCTCTAGACTTCAACGGATACGTAAGGATAATACCCCGTTGAACACCTCGCTTTCGAGATAGATCACATAGAACCCTAAGCAAACCAGACCCAGACCGCCAAAAGACACAATTTCATCTTATTACTCCGCAAGCCCAGCCCACGACTCGGTCACGGCTCACGATCCCCACCACGCAAGGCCCCTGGCCTCTACGAATATGTAGAGCAGAGAGAGATTTTGGCACCAGGCACCAGAAAAAAGGGGGCAAGCTCTCGGTTCCTGTCCTTGACCGTTGACGGGCTCGAGTCCCCCCCGGCCCGGGGCAGCCGGAAATATCCGCTCTTTCCGACTTCCGGGCTCCCAGTCTTGGGCGCTCTTCGCCTAGGTATCGTAGACAAACAATCTGAAAGCTTCCGTAGCCCATCTTGGAGCTCGCACGAGTCGGTTGCCGATCTTTTCGGCACTTCCGCGTCGCTGTCTGCCCGCTGTCAAGGTCAAAGTAAATTCAGAACAACGTCCACTTTCATACTCTATAGCTAGTGCGTATACCCCGTATGTAAACATTGTTTGAAGGTCACGATGCGCATAACTCCAGTAAACGCATGTCAATCGTCAAAGTGAGAACCAAAACGGGCTTGAAAATCAACGCCATGCCTAGAAAATACACATTCTAAGGAAAGATCTCGGTCTACCAATGTTCTCTTTCAGCCTTTGCCTAAATCCCCGCCCTACTTGATAGCCCCATCCACTCCAAAATCAAACAGTAAACAATAGTGTCACAGATACGCTTAGGTGCCGCGTTTACTTCTTAGTAAAAGAGGCTTCCGCGAGCAGCCCATTGCTCTCCCTTCCCCCAATCATAAGAAACCCATTCATACGTCCTCGTCACTATCGTCACCAAGGAGCTCGCCTTCGTCGTCGTCGACAATGTCGTAATCTCCTCTGCCCCGCGCGAAACTGTCCCTCGTGGTGAACCTGCGGTTGCCCCGCCCGTTGAGCCAGCTGCCCCTGCTTCCACCGCTCACACTCTCGTAAGCAGAGGTGGCGCGCCTCCACAGCGCCGAGGCGACGAGCGGCAGGGCCGCCGCGACGGCAACCACCGCCGACAGGGCAATGACCGGGTACTTGATCCACGGCGCGTCGTTGTCCAGGTTCGACGACTCGCCCAGCCGGATCTGACCAAACTTGTCGTTCCAGTTCTGGTATACCCACCAGCCAATGGCTCCTGCGAGTCCGATGGGGATGACAACCGCAAAGAAGATTGCAATGCCAGACGTTCTGCGCCGCCTCTCAAACTCCTCTTCCTTACCGGCACAGGCGTGGACGTTGGCCTGCTTGTCGAATTCTTGGCCTCCATCGCAGGTGGTGAGCGGGATTCTACGATAGCCGGTGGGTTCGTAGTATTCAACAGCATCGGGGTTTTCCTTGCACCACTGCTCAGCCGACATGGGAGATTTGCCCTCAACAAGACTGCACTGTTTGTGGCCATCCAACTCAAAGTTGTAGTCGCTGTGAATCAGTTGTTAGCCATAGTGCGTGCGAATACTAAGGTGTGGGGATGTGCTTACCATTCATAGTCGGCCCTGGTGCAAGTGCAGTTCTGGAGTTGGTAGAGATGCTGGACCTTGAGGTCATTGTAGCAGTTCGCTTCGTCTTTCTTGCGCAGGTACTTTGAAACGTGTCCAAAGAGGCAGTCATCGGGCTGCGATGGGTGCTTGGGCGACCACAGGTAGTAGTCAGAGTCACCGTTCTCGTCGTTCTTGCAGGGGCGGTCGCTCAAGCCAGTAAAGTCAACGTTGACAGAGAACATCTCGCCACCATCGTCCTTACACCAGATGAGGAAGTTTCGCGAGGCTCCGGAGCGGAGAGTTGAGATATCCAAGACAGTGACTTCTTTGTCGGTGAAGTCGAACGGTTTCCAGGTCTTGCCCTCATCCGTGGTGTAC